AAGGCTTCAGCTTCTTTCTAAAAGAAGAAATTTGAAAAATACATCAAAATGTCTCACCCCTAACTTCTGTCCCACCCCCAAAAATATTTTAACACTGTAGATTTATAAAGGGTACTTGAAAGTCTAGAAAAAACTCTGTTTCCAAACTGCCAAATCCTTCTCAGCCCAAATCCTGGTTGTTCACTTTTTGACTCAGGATCGAAAATGCGATTTTCTCTGCTTTTCAGCTAAAAGGGCATAACTGAGCTTAAAAATGTATTGAAACATAGGTTTTCACATCTGCCCTATCAACTGGCATCATTAAAAAATGGTTTTTGACAATTTCTAACCTTGGATCTCTAGAAATCCAGGTTTTCTGAAAATCCTTTGCTGAGCTGGTTTTCAGAAAACTGAGCCGGCCATTCAATTCAGGGTGTCAAAATACGTATAATCGTATAATATGAGGCTTTATGTACTAGACAAAACAGTTCTAGAGATATGTTTGGGGGTGGGACAGAAGTTAGGGGTGAGACATTTTGATGTATTTTTCAAATTTCTTCTTTTAGAAAGAAGCTGAAGCCTTGCTATTTACAGCATAGCTTGTGCTATCCATTTGACATATATGGTAAAAAAACGAGTTCTCATTTCCATGTAGTTTGGTCAGGGGAGAGTCAAAAAGGGGTGGGACAAACTGTATGTCACAAGCTACTGGACGTCAGTAAAATGTCAACTGCTCAAAAACGAAAAAAGCTAGCAACTTGCGGTTTTCAACAATCTACAGTGCCTACTTTGATAAATCCTTTCATAGAAAAATATTTGACTTAAAGTGCTTATTGGCTGCGCAGAAGACTCAAAAGGGGGTGAGACACGATTTTTGAACTTTTCGAGGACCAGAAATTTCATCGAAGTTTTCACAGAAACTAAAAGAGATTAGGCAAAACTAAGACTGCAGATTGACAGAGCAGGTAAAATACTGCACAAAAAGCAAAAAAGATTTTGTTCCACTGCCCCTTAAGAAAAGAAAAATGTTAATTAAGAAAAAAGAACGTGCAGGAACCACCAAGAAAAGAAAGGAAAAAGAACCCAAAAACAAAGTGTTTTGCTTACTGTACACTAAGAAAATAAGACAGAAAAGAGATCTTAGCAGTATATATAGAGTAAAGTGTCCGGAATAAAATGGCATAAGCTTCTAAAAGGTCGATTTAGTATTAACGGAGAACCATGCATTTCCATTAGCTTAAATCGAACGGTACAAAAATCACCAGAATCACTAATATACATCTCATTTCAGGCTTTTCCCAAAAAACCAAATTTTTCGTTATTTTCTCAAAATCTCGTAGTCAAAGGATTAAGTTTCATTTATACTTAGAGCAAAATGATTATGTTCCTGCTCTTTAGGTATTGGTTGTTGAAACGAATGATGATGGAATTCTACGAGCAGCTTTTTCGTTGTTTGATAAGGCGAAGAAACCGTTTCATGTTCATCAACTATTCTATTGTACGAAGCGAACTACTTGGATGGAAATTCGTGCATTCATTTATCGTTGTTTCTTTTCCAAAAAATATCAAGTGCTTATTCGACCTAATTTGCTCTTATTACTAATTCAAGATAAATTTTTTCCATTGCTTAATCAAATAATCGAAGAATATCCGGGACGTTCTATTCAGTTAGGTATCATTACAACAGAAGCTTCTTCTCATGTACAATTAATTAATGCAATCAAGACTGGAATCAATGTCAACATATTACGCGAGCAAGAACGTTTAAGCAATGATGCCTTTACTTCTCAAGTTCAGAAAATGCTTCATCAATGCACTCTCGTCACATCTCGTCTCTCTGGTCTGGGTAAATCGCATTTCATTGAGAAAGAAAGTCGTCGACTCGGTAAACAGCATATCAAATTTCCCATTGGTGGTGATATAATAGCGGATGACATAGCTGATCGACTCCGAACCTTAGGTGGAAAAGCATTGCGTACATCGATTTTGCATCTTGATATCGGACATGTTGAAGATCCACATGATCTTGATGAATTATTATATTGTCTCGCACTTTTTCGCAGCTTCTGTTTTGGTCAGTTGGCTGTGCATGTGCCGTTCGAAACACTCATATATGTTGAACTTGCCTCATCCCCCTTCATTACAACTAACCAGGATCTTATATTGTATCAACATCTTAAGCCTGTTTATCTCGATAAAATAAACTGGGATGATCTCGACTGTGAGCGTCCGAGTATTCAGTTCGTAGCCAAATATCTGAATGCGATTACTACAGGTGCAATCACAAACAAAGATATTAACTTAGACGACAAAGAAGTAATCGATCGCAGGCTCTGTCTGAAATTAATTCAGACCCATTTTCTTCAACCAAAAAATGTTGAATTTGTCACATGGACACAATTATCTATTTTTATTGCAGTGTTTTATTCTCTCTTTAATGGATTTTCGATCTGTGGTTACTTTCTTGCTGAATTCGTGAGCCAACCTCAGTTGCGACTGGATATTCTTCAAGCACTTCTTCGTTCTTCAGATCAATTCACCTCGCTATCTGTAGAAACGGTGCGAAAGCAACAGCGCGCCAGTGGAATAGATGATCCAGAGACTCATCAACCAGTATTGACTAATTCTATTGTTCGCTGGGAAAATACTGAACCGTTTACACTTGTTTTTACAGCAACTCATGAACCTTTGTTCGTTTACAAAACAGACCGTGCGATACCACAATCACTCAGAAACTATTTCAATGATTTTCAACAAGCAGTTTCACAGCGACGGACTCGGAAAGCTGCTGACACTGCGCCACAATTAAATCACTTTGATGACAACATATTTCCTGATTATAATAAACTCTCACATGTGGAATTATTTCGAAAGCTTGCTTCATTATCATACAAATATTTCAACAAGGCTGTATGTACTATATGTTTCAAGCAATATCCATACAATACACAACAATGTACACAATGTCACACGAACGAGAGCATTCGTCAACCAAGAACAGTCGATAATTGTGATGTGTTAGTATTTCAAACACAGATCGCTACTTTGCTTGAGGCCGAATATGTCCTTACTCCAGACAACTATGTCAAGATGCTACTTGTGTATATGCGCATACAAAGCGGTCTTCCAGTATTAATTATGGGGGAAACAGGTAACATCTCTGAGTACTTATGTGTTTCGCAGACATGTAGAATAATTTGTAAAAAATTAATTCAAAAAACAAACTTTTCTGATGATAAAATGATGTTTTTAATTGAAATTTTGTTGGATATACCAATAACTTTGTGACGATCGTTTATCGAACACGTACGATAAGGACTCTCCTAACAATGGAATTAGCATTCTGAGAAATATAGGAATTCACGTAGACTAAAAAAACTATTTCATGGGATACTAACGTTTTAGAGAAGAACTGCTTGATTTACTATATCTTAATGACATATAAGGTCGCAAGGCACTTGTGAAAGTTCTGAATGCAGAAAGAACTTAAAATGCAGAAGGAACGTCATATTCTAGAGATGAATTTATAAATTAGTTTAGCATTTCAATACAGGATTTCTGGTCATCGACATAAATCCATGGAGGTTTGAATATTAAGTTAGATTTCGTTTATTTTATGAGTGAATCTCCCTCTTATTGCTTTCACTAACTTGTTTTACATTATGAAAGACTCCATTTTGGAATTGATTAGTTAAGTGTAGAATATCGTGAATACAATTGTATATACTTGTTTGATTTTTAGGCTGTGGTAAGACAGCATTGATTAAATTTTTGTGTCAAAAAATTCTTGACGATGAACTGGAAATATTCAGAATTCACGCTGGAGTGAACGATGAGAAGATTATTGAGACAATGCGACGATTTATAATTAAAGCTAAAGAATGTGCACAACAGGAAAAACGTCTTTGGATATTCTTCGACGAATTCAACACGACATCTAGTATTGATTTGCTCAAAGAGATCACCTGCGAACGTACACTTCTGGGTGACTGGTTACCCTATAATATGGTCTTTCTTGGTGCATGTAACCCGCGTCGACATAAGAGCACTGAAGAACGGATGTCGTTTGAAAACAATATTGGCATAAAAAAAGATCGATATGAAATGATGAAGAAGCTCGTCGGTGGCAAGTATTTATTATATACAGTAGTATCTATTCCTGAGACTATGCTGGAATATATCTGGGATTATGGATATCTTGATCAAGATACAGAACGGGCATATATTCAAACAATACTCAAAACATGTCCTTCGTTAGTAATATACGAACAATTATTTAATACATTTATTCAACTCATATCTCGATCGCAATTATTCATACGCGAAACTGAAGATGTTAGTAGTGTTAGTTTGAGAGATGTGGCTCGATTCTGTCGTTTGTACAATTGGTTTCATGAATCGATCGTTGTGCGTGCTACTAACACGCCTCTGTCCACACTGACAGTTGCTCAACGAGCTGCTTTTGCGGCTCTCTTCTTATGTTACTACTTTCGACTTCCTTCCGTTGAGCGTAAAAATAATTATGTCGCCATGCTCGTAGAAAGCTTAGCAGAGTCTTATTCCCTGCCATTAACGGAAAAAGGCTTCCTCATTAGACAGCTTGAGACAGAGGAAAACGAGTTAATAAAAGAGATGGAACTGCCTAGTGGTATGGCAAAAAATCGAGCTCTGCGCGAAAACATATTTGTTCTTCTCGTATGCATTGTTAATCGAATTCCTGTAGTGCTATGTGGAAAACCCGGTTGTAGCAAAACATCCGCCGTGCAAATCGTTATCAGTAATCTTAATGGAAAAAAATCAAACAGTTCATACTTTCAAACACTACCCGAACTCATCAAAGTTTCATATCAAGGCTCGCAAAATTGTACATCCAGCAGCACTGAAAAGGTATTCGAACGAGCTGGTAAGTATCAGAAGGCTCAATCAGAAGCGCGTCTTCTGCCGGTCATAGTTTTCGATGAGATTGGTCTAGCTGAACTCTCACCACGTAATCCACTTAAGGTGCTTCATGCCGAACTTGAAGTAGAAACATGTCAATACGGTTTTGTTGGTATATCAAATTGGCGCTTAGATGCATCAAAAATGAATCGAGTACTTTATATAAGTTGTCCCGATCCGGACATTACTGATCTGACAATGACTGCTAAATCGATTGCAGATAACATGTTATGTGGACAATCAGCAGCACCAGACCTGGATTCAATCCTCAGCTGTTTGGCTAAAGCCTATTATCACCTATTTGTTTTTCTTAAAACTCAGCAGCAGAACGCATATTATTTTGGTCTACGCGATTTTTATTCCTTGGTTAAAGGTGTTCTGAGTGAAACACATAATACCATGACCAAGAATGGTGACGATCTATACGCTATTGTGCATCGACAGATGAAAATTAATCTTGATGGCATCATCGATGGATCAGTTTTGACGTGGCAGATCTTTTGTGAAAGTCTCAACCATACAGAGCTTATAGATCAATATCCATCGCCGACTTTTAAAGATCTCCTTGATCGTCGTATTAAAATACATTCAGGTCGCTTTCTAATGTTCATAGCTGACGGAGAGAGTTCAATTGATTACGTTGAACGATATCTTCGTTCGGCTACAAAATGGTTACCGATACATGAACATTCAGTACGAACATTAATCGGTAGCCAAATGCCAGGTGATCTTGTTTTAAATAAAACTTATACCGAAACTTATAGTTACAGAGTACTTATGGATATTATTCTCCATGCCGAGACAAATGTAACTTTACTTATGCGACAATTAGGTCATCTTCATGATAATCTATACGATTTATTTAATCAGAACTTTGCTGTTTCTGCGAAAAAGCAATATTGTCGGATTGCACTTGGTGCTCTTTATCATCCACGATGTCTTGTCAATGACAACTTTTTCTGTATCGTATTTGTCAATCGAGACGAGGTTGAAAAGTGTGATCCACCATTTCTCAATCGATTCGAAAAGCATATTATCAATATTCAAGATCTAGTCCAACCAGTTCATTGGGAAACAACTCAAGTTCTTCTCAAGTGGCTAACGGATCTTTTACCATCTGGAGATAATGTACGCTTTCCGTGTCTTCAACATTTGTTTATTGGCTACAATCCTGATTATGTCTGTAACTTAGTGATTGATACTAGTGAAGAAAATGTAGATCAACAACAAGTGATAGAAACATGTAAAATCAAGATACTGCGCTCTTGTTCATTTGATTTACCGCTTGTTCTTGCCACTCAAATGACCGATAACGACAAAAATCGAACGCTGATTCAACAATATTATAATATTCATGAACGTGGGTCATTTGCGGATGTTCTTCATCAACATCGAGGAAGGCGTTTAAGTTCTATAACAGGATCAACTCCATTGAGCGCAATACTTTGTAGCGTTACTAAAAAGCAGATCATTTATACGTATACACAGATTTATGATACTATTATTTGCGATCCGAATATTGTTAAGGAAATCAAATTAAACAACTTGCAAACAGAACTGGAAGTGATAAATAAAATAAAAGGACACTTTTTAAAAAAAGACGGTCCACGTATTTTGATAATACGTGTTGACCATCTGACAGAACATAAACAACTTCTTTCGCTTAAACATATTTTACTCAATGCAATTGATGATGAATCTAAAGAACCATCCGATCATTGTATTTGGCTTGTTATTCACTTACAACGCAATATGCTTGGTGAAGCAAAGAATGATATATTGTTCCACGGTTGGCTAGTCCATATGATAGACGATCTTAATGCATACAATCCTATTTCAATCGAGAATTTGATGAATCCATCATATTATGATCTGGTTGCTCAAGAGCCGTTTAAGCTGTCGGAAAAACTATTCAATGAACTTGTCGATCGAACCTTATCAAAGCTTCGGTATGAAGTAACTAACAATCAGTTAGAGTCAAGAATTAATCAGCGACGAAACACCATTATTAATTGTCTCGTACAAGACAATCATTCCAGACTTCGACGTTCGGTTCGAGAGAACTTGTTCCTACTCATACAAAAGATACATCATGATCGAGCCGATAAACGCTTTTCCGATTGGCGAAAAGATCTTCTAAACAATGGATTAATTATTGCAACGTGCCGCTCTTTAAGCGATGCTCTGAAAGCTACAATTGTTCAATTTTATGAAACGTATTTTTTACTTTTATTTGCACATTTAGAACGAAATGCTTTCTTTGATTCGTATCAATTCATTCAAGGGCGAGATGAAAATGAGCAGAAGCTTCTCAAACAAATTTGGGTTACTTGTTTAACTTCAACCCTAAAGAATATTGACCAAAATACCATGAATTGTGACAATGTTGAAATATCGTTAGTCTTTGATTTACGACTCCCATGTGCTGTGGCCGAGTATGCTGTTGTGCGACGAATACGCAAGATGTTATCACAACAACGGTCAAAAAATGACATAACTGTTGGCGATCTTGACCAGCAAATATGGCAAAAACTGAATGATAAAACAGTCTATGGGAGCATATTAATCCATACAATTTTTGATAATGATAAACTATCCGAACACTACTATCATGATCAAGTGTGTCTTTTCTCAACGAAAATAATATCCAACTGACGACCAATTTTGTTCTTCAGATGACTAGTACAAATCCAACTCTTTCAAATAAAACTCGTTTTCAATCATTATTAACAAATTGGGAAGAAATGATTCAGATATTTCGAATTTTCGAAGTCGGAGCTACGTTAATTGGCGAAAATTCTCTACTAAAGACTTGCAAGAAACAGTTTATAGAAAGTGATGAGGGCAGTGATGATGTAAACAATGAGAATCGTCTCTATACATTGATATTTACTAAAAAACGTTTCCGTCAAATCGAACCTAGAAAGAAAGATTCGCAAGTAAAAGAAAACTCAAATGATAATAAAGATCTATTCATTGAAAATAGTCTCATGAATCTTCTTGAATTGCTCCAGAGACAGGAATATGTACGAAAAGTTGAATCTCCTGAACAGATGATGACTACGTATAATCTCATCTATCATGGTGTTCGTACATTGACAAACTATTCGGTTGACAATCTAGAGAAATTTAGTTCGTACACAAGTCCAGTTCGATCGATTACTGCTCTTATAGACAATCAATTCGCTACGGATATTTTCCAACAGATATATGCCGACGATGTTGCCGCTAATTTTGATTCCTGTGATTTGATTCATGCATTCATTGAACGATTAACAAAAACTATAGAAGCAGCAGAAGATCAAATGACGGTAGACAAAGCTACTGTTCAGCGTACACTTCTTAAACTTGAAATTGAATTGTTAAAAAACTGGCTAATCGGCCATGGTGATCAATACTGCGATATTCTCGCACTGATTAACCGCAATGACACTGATCTCTGGCGATATTCGACAAAGATCTTCGTGTATATCACTCTGCGTCTGCATTTGATAGAATACATAGAGGAACATCATGGCCAGATACCGGCGGATGATGAGAATTTTAGAAACCTGGAGAAATACTTACAAAACTCGTCCAATCAGTCATCTAAAATTCAACTACTTTTAGTCAATCATCTTCATAAGAATCTAATTTTATCGATTAGCGGAAATGATTTTGAAGACATTCTAAGAAAAGAATTTGGATTCTTTGAAATAAATATGCATGTGGTAACTCAGCATATTGTCAACGGACGGCATCACGTTCGATTGATTGGTCTGATTGCGTGGCTTAAATGCTATACACAAATGTATGCATTCGTTTTACACAACGACTCACATCAAGACTTTATGTCGCATATTGATCGCTTTTTAGCTAGAGATGAGAGCACATTTGGTGCTACTCTGAAGTTATTTATTCTCAAGCAACTTGTGCACATGTCGAAGGGCGTAACATTAGCAGACGTTCGCGAAACTTTTGCTCATCGTAACGTCGTCTGGTTACGACCATTACTAACGCGTGTTGAACCTATGGCTGCAAATCGTGATCTTATTCTACCTTTGCCTTTATTCGAAGGACATGATGAATTTGTAATGGTCAATAAAACTTTAAATAATTTCGGTAATATCGACGAAGTGAGCGCTCTTATCAAGAAATGCCGAGATAATCAACGACTGGCATATGGTTTTTACTCATGGTTTATTCAGTACTACTGTCGTTATCTTACGCCAAACACACAGATAGATCAACAGTTTGTACAACTCTTTTGCAGTGATTTGAAGCAACTGCTAATAGATTCTTTTGAGCCAATTGGATTTAATCTGCTTGTATCTCTATGCAGTAATTTTCCTGCCGTTTCCTATTTCCATTTACAACCAGACATGCCAAAAAAAGAATTATATAGGCGTTTACTTGCTCTTAATATCGTAGCTGTCTGTTTATCGACTAAAGGCTGTCCAAAAGCAACATATTTAGGTACATTGCTATTCGATCAAAACCAGCATATGCCTCAAAACTATGTTAACCACATCCAATCTATATGTTTGATGGGTATGATCAGTAGTGATCCAGTGGTAACACAAATGATCGATGTGAGAACACAAATACAAGATCGTCTTAATAGGAATCTAATCCACATAGGTGGAATGTTCGTTTTTCAATGCTCTCGTGATTGTCACTGGATGTTTTATTTTGAGGACTGTGGAATTCCAAATGATAAGCAACAATGTCCACTTTGTAAAAAAGATATCGGTGCTTTTAGATATAACCAGTTGATTCAGCGTGACCCTCCACAAATTCAGATGAATTTGCAAGATGGTTTTAGAACAATAGAACAGTACATGAAAACATATAATAGCGTATTACGATTAGGCTATCACAATGTCGCACCTGTTATGCAACTACCGCCAGACGAGAAACCAGATCATTTGAATCGAACTGTTTCCTTTAGATTTCTTCACCTGTGGACTCATGCACAACTGTTTGTCTTACATGAATTGAAGTGTTTATCTGACGACGATCTTCTTCAAAGATTAAAAGTGCCTAATATTTTGCACTTTCGTCAACATTTTGATAGGGATTGCACGTTGATGGAAGGAATATCGACAGATCCCGAACAGTATCACATATGGTTATACAAGCTCATTAATCATATGCTTGACAACAATATTAATATCATTGGTATTCTGAACACAAATGAAAAAGTGGTCCAAATCGAGCAGTTAATTGAACAACGATTAATCTTTCCCCATGTTGACTCGATTATTAATGAAATTGGAAATTATCGTCTAGCATACGTTGATTTTGTTCAAAAGTTTGATGCAGAGATTTCACTGAGTAATTATGTCGATGAATTACGACAAAATGATGAACGCTATCCGTTACTCTCATACTTCAATGTCAGTCGAATTCAAACAGTCAATCCACTTGATGAATTTCGCGTAAAAATGCAAACTTTACCCTTCGGTGACAAAATGTATCCTCTGTCAGCATCCTTACTAAAACGTCTCGATGAATACGCCAACATTCAATATTTATATCCAC